CTGTCAACAAGCAAATAAAATTTCTTCTGTTTTCTGTAATTAAACCGACAAAGCATGAAAAACAGAAAACCATCTGTTTGGAATTAAAACCGTATATATTCGCGATTCCCGGCCCCCGGGTATACTTGTCGTAAGATCTCGGTCCCAGTCCCCCCAGAGCCCTGTTATAGTGTTTGCTCCGAGACCAAGGCTGTAAACTTGTGCTAAGAGTCGTTAGGCGCTGGCAAAACTAATCTTTATGGTAAGTCAACCGATTTAATGCTCATCTCATTTACAATTTTCACCAGTCACCACAAGGAAAGTTTTTCTTTGCTTTTTATTTCTCATGCTGATTGCTAACTTGCTGAATCAGTCCTGATTCATCATCATGAATTCTCATGAATTATTTATAAATTAAATCATTTGATTTTCAAAATTCAACTTTCACTTCGGTTTACATTTCATGTTATCAACTCAAACAAACTGGCAATCTGTCATCAAATATATACACGACACGTAACACGTATATACTACCAACACTGTACATTATATTTATATTATATTGAATTTGAATAATGCATGAGGTCAGTGACTCAGTGTTCAGGAGTGTGCCTGGTCTGCCTGACACTGACAGCCTGTAGTGTTGTAGGCTGTGAACCTGTGGTCATTGGACATTGGGTCATATTCCAGAAAACATCCGGCATACCACCCCCACGGAGGAAATAGGATGTTAACCCCCCTACCCCCTTCAGATGTCTAGCTAATACATTTACTATTAACAGAAACAATTTTTTCTACCCTCCCCCTCGGGACGGCAGAAATTTCCTCCATGGGGGGAGTATGGATCTTTTCTGGAACGACCCATATTTGTAATTTGTAAATATCAAATTCAAAATTAGTAATAAACTTTTGTTGTTTTGTAATTTGGAATTGTACAGAAGAGCAATAACAAAGAGTCAGATGGTCTTGCAGCTGGTCTTGAAAAAAATCAAGCTAAATTTTCAATTTTCTTTAGATTTTTTTAAAAATAGATTTTATAATATTAATATTAATAGCAGTAGTAATCATAATAACAATAATAGTAATGGTAATAATAATGATAATAATAATAACACTAATAAAAATAATAATAACAACAATAATAACAACAATAACAATAATAATAATAATAACTTGTTTATAAATTTACAAGCCAAGATTGATTGTCTGTCATGTCTGACTCTGACCGACTCATTAGTATCATCTTTAAAACAAAGGTTTCTAGTATATAGAATGCAGAATGGAATAAAATATGATAAGTTCTTTGAAATGGCGAACCACGAACTCCAATTGTTTCCTGTCCTGCAAAGACAAGACACCGGATGAATACAAAAGCTTGTTGTATATGAATTTTCATGTCCGGGTTGCCAAAGCAACTACATTGGTAAAACAGGCCGCTGTCTATACACTCACTGTCAGGTGTCTTAAAGAGCATAGCACACGAGAAAACTCGGAAATCAACGCCCACACCAACTGTTGCGAACATTTTCAGCACATCAAATCCCTTATGGAACTTTCACCTGACTTAACTAACCCTATAAACACTAATTTAACTGAACTAATATTTAGGAACTGTAAAATAATTGATAGGTCAGACCACTGGTCTCTGTTGTTATTTAAGGAGTCTCTTGCTATACGCAGACGAAAACCTGATCTCAACCACGGTGCGAAATTAGCTTCCAAAGAACTTATCATATTTCATGTACTATTTAAAGCTCCGCCTTTCTTGGCTTTATAATAGCTGCATCTGTAATTTTACACTATTCTTAATCCTGAGGATGACTACAAACAGTAGCATAGCCAGCCCGACGATTTAGTCCCGCTATGCAAATATTTTCGTGTTCAACGACTGTGAAAACAATCAATTTCTAAAGAAATGAATAATGATAATAATTTTGAATTTGCATAGCGGGACTAAATTGTCGGGCTGGCTACGCCACTGACTACAAACTAGTCGAAACGTCGATTAAAAATCAAAATGTTATTCGGAGTTACTGTTATTTTGTATTTTCTTAAAATACTGAGTGGTTCCCATAATTATTGTAATGAGATGTGTTTACTAGTATTATAATATATACACCGTGGATACATGTCCCAATTACTCCCAACATCTTATGACTATTTATGCAATACAGTATTATGCATGTGTATATGGTAGATACAACATTCACGTTTTTGACAATAAATTACTTGAACTGACTATAGTACCTTAGTAATAGAACCTAGTAATTTGGCAGATAAATCTGCTGCTGCAGCTGAAATCAACAAGGGAAACAGTGATAAATATAGTTTAAATATTCAAACCTTTACAAAATTATGGGAGTCTAAGTTTCTCCTGAGTTTTAGTAACAAGTTTAGAGCAGACATTACAGATCTCAAATTTTGAGGCTATATGCACCCACAAAAATCTTATTTCTAACAAAATTCAATCTTGGTCTTATTTGTTAGATAAAACAGGCAAGCCAAAACGAAAAGGCGACCAAACACCAGATAAAGTTGCAACACCTGTGCCGTCCTCAGCAGGAGTAGTGGATGACAGCGGCCAGGGCAATCAAACAATCACCAATGTATTATCTGGGGAAGACATTGACTCACTTGCTGTCAATATGGAAGAGCTACAAAAGGTTTCTGACGTTTTTTTGTCATAATTTTCATTTGCTCTTTCCATTTTATAAGAACCTTTTATAAGCAAAATTTTAAGAATACTCTAAGGATATCAGTTCAAGTTTGAGATTTTCTAAAAAAGTTATTATTTTGCTGTAAAATATTAAAATTGTAATTAATTAAGGATCAAGTTTATTGATAAGGCAACGTGTTTGAAATCTTTGTGATACAATTAGCAGGGTGTTATAAGCCAGAGAAAAAAAGTTTTGTCCGTTAAACATAAATTGGGAAAATTTTTTTGACCGATCAAGTCCCTGTGTAGGAATAAATAGTGTTTTTTTCCAACGTGTTTCTCCTTAGATGCAAACAACGGTAGCTTGGTTTTGTACATTTCATTTCCGGTGAATGAACACTGAAAAATGCACCCGATGGTACTTCGTTTTGTATATTTCATTTTCGGTGAATGAACACGGATGCATACCGATTACACTTTGTTTTGTACATTTCATTTCAGTGAATACACACCCAATATGAGTGAAACGCGTTACATTTTGAGAAAATAGTTAATGGGAAAAAGTAAACAAAACGTTCTTTGATATAATAATATAAAATCAAACGCAATGCACTTTCTCATCAGAAAAAATGAAAATCTTCCAGTAGACCCAGTTGGGAAAGCCGCTTAGCTACTTCAATTGGGAAGAGTCCGTCAAACGGACAGTATATGGGCTAGCTAACACCCTGATTAGCAACTTCAGGCTTTAGTGGCGCATTGCCAAAGCAATGGCACTTATGTGACAACAATCAGTCAACACTCTACCGAAAGTTGTGGGTTTTATCTGGGTACGCCAGTGCCCCCCTGAAGGGAATGTCGACTCTTCTACCATGCCGGATTTTGAGGGGAGGTGCATACCTCAAAACAGTGGAGCACAGATTTTGGCTTAAAGGACATTGGCAATAAAAAATTGGTTTGTCTTATTCAAAAGAACTCTTAAAATTATATATTAAACTCTATTACCGATTTGTCATATCTTGCTTAGTTCTCAAATATCGCCATCTTGTACTAATTCTTGACACTCATTAACTATGGTTTTGATAACGTCGGGAGTTGGGTTAACCATATAAAACTACTAGTCTGAAAAATTGTTTGAAATGTTTTTAATCATTTCTAAATTTCAGACCGCAGCCAGAAACGAAGTTTTGGACCCATATTGATCGCTTACTCTCAAGATAAAAAATAGCGTGGCCCCTCTCTTGACGTAACATGCATATCCTCAATAATCCAAGATGGCGAACAGCTCATTTTTTTCAATCGAAATATTTTGAAAACTAGGCAAGATATAAACAATCTGTAATAGAGTTTAATATATAGTTTTAAGAGTTCTTTCAAATGAACTAAACTGATTTTTATTGCCAATGCACTGTTAAGTAGGATAATTACCAATTAAAGTACATGGGTATATAGTTTATTTAATCCATTAATGTCCAACACTTTTCTTTTAATACTGAATCAGCAATTTGACAATTAGTAAATGACAATGAAAGTTGGACTAGTTAATGATCGAACAATATAAGAAATTCCAAGTGTCATTGCTATTTATAGAACAGACCACCGAAACGTCCTATGGTAGAGAGGACATCACGTCAGGTGACTGTGAGGAAAGCTGTCAAGTTGAAAGATGGATCAAATGCTGAAGCAAGGAATGGAAAAACGTAATATGACATGTTAAATTAAATTTAGTTCAAAAAGTCATTGGTGTTTTGAACAGTAGCGTAGCCAGCCAGACGATTTAGTTCCGCTATGCAAATATTTTCGTGTTCATTGACTGTGAAAACAATCAATTTCTAAATACTTTTGAATTTGCATAGCGGGACTAAAGTGGCGGACTGGCTACGCCAGTGGTTTTGAAATGTCATAATTATATAACATCGTGCAGCAGTTAAACACCCAAGTGGCAACACATTTTTCACCCATTAATTCAAAATACCATTAAAGCTTTTAAATCTTATGGGTGCGCGGAAATACCAGATTTATTTCGAGTGTTGAACATGATATCTCATGAGTGAGCGCAGCGAACGAGTGAGATATCATGTTCAACACTGTCAAGCAAAACATGTTGACCGTACATACGAGAAAGTAAACTTGTCAAGGAAAATTTGCTCTAAAATTTCTACATGGCTGAGGGCTTTTATTATTATTCTGGATTTTCTGCATGAACCGTTTATCGTTATTCATTATTCCGCTGTATATTACCTTTTCTAGTGTGACAGTAGCCCATCGTGCAAAAACAGATTCAGAGTTCAACGGTTACGAAAAATTAGGTATACGCATTCGTTTAATTTCATTTACGTGTTGCGCCTACATTGTTAATTTACTCTGTTTGAGTATACGAGAAAATAATTCCAGGAAACAAAGATCCTTGTATTGACGACACAACCCCTTTCTACGAACATCATATTCTCGGAACGTTGCAAGAATTCAGAGAACAAAATGGAAAAAGTCTTCAGTCTAAGGTGAAATACTGATCAGTTTTCCTCTAATTCCTCCGTATACATGTATCTTTGTACGCCACGGACTTAATAAGCATATTTTGGGTTCTTTATTTCAGAAAATTCCCATGTCACATAATGAAAAGGTAACACACAATATTCCTTATATACATACACGCTCGATGTAAGACGTCATAGGCTGAAGAGCGTTTTGATGTACAAAATTCTTAATGAGCAGTCCGCTCCAAGTCTTAGAGAAAAATTTATAAAAATTAAAGATCTTAATAGAGAATATAATCTTCGAAGTAACGATACTGATCTAGCTCTTCCAAAACCTAAAACAAACTATCTTAAACGAAGTTTTAAGTATACAGTGGTGCTATGCTGTAGAATAGTCTTCCTTCTCAGGCGAAAAAGACATCTTCGCTTTACCAATTTAAACGCAGTATGTCCACTATATCAGAGACTTAGGAGAACAATTTGCAAGTATAACACGCGAGTTAAAATAGTTTGCAAGTATAACACGCCCCATCTGAAAATCAACAGATTGTATTTTACAACTATGTTGTGTATGGCCAGCGTGGCTAAATAAATCTGTAAGTAAGTAACACTGGGCTTAAAATAGTATTTTAATTTTCACGCTGGTCATGGCGAGAGGTCAGTTCCATTTGGTCCTGATCAAACGGAAATCTTGATTTTTATGTGTGGAAACAAGACCTTAGAACGCATTTGATTGGTTAATCGTGGAGATTAAGCGCACATGATTGGTTAATCTAGTGGCAGTGAAAATCTGAACCTCAACTGCACATCCTAGCTACACCGCATTAAAGTATTATTTCTGAAATGTTCTTGTATTTCTTTTAACCAGACGTATGTTCCTGTACCAGCGACCAAAGTGGTCAAGGGCAGAACCTTCCCATCTCACATCTATAAACCTCACGTAAGACATTTCATTATGGTTCATTTATAGATAAAGATATTATGTCCCAGATGCTATTTAATGTTCCAGGTGGTACTAGCTTTAAGAGAGGTCCTGAAGTCTACTAGGTCCCATTTTCTAGCCCAAATTTTCTCTAAATCCCATTACCCAGTCCTTCTTTTAGATCAAATCCCAGTTTCACTGTGAAATTAAAATTGGCGAAAGCTGTTGCGTGTTCCCTGCCATGTGACTGTTCTGTAAATGTTAAAAATGTAAAATGTAAATATAGTGTGATAGATGTAATTGGCGAAGTTTAATAAATTAAATTAATTAAATTAAAAGAAAATGCCAGAGCCGGTGGTTCGCCAACGTGATGACTTTTAAACGCGATAGTGTCAGTCAAGGTATAATACGACTGACTTACAACCATAGATATCTTATATACACTAGATAGTGCATATATGCGGTTTTCCTGCTTGTCAGTTTGGGGCGGCACTCTCGCTGCGATGGTAACTCTTAGTTAAGTTGTTTTTTACCATTACCAGTGGCATAACGGAGGAATAGGGGCCCTTAGGCATATTTGATGTGGGCCCCCCTGGTAACTGTTATCATTGTTTGACTGAGATATTATACACTTACAAGCACGATCCAATAAAAAGTTTAGGGTCGGGATTTCGACGTCCAAAAGCTAGGTAGGGTCGGGAAATCGGAAACCCCCATATTTTTTTTGCCCTAACAGTCTCCAACTCATGCAACAACTAATAAGAATAACGTTTCTTTTATTTGAGATGGAATAAAAGAATCAGCTACCGTTGTCGATGGAAGCTTTGTTATTTAGCATTTAATTTATTAATTTTGTATTTTCTCATTGATTCTTAACCTGCATTTTTACGTTTTCTAATTTATGGGCGATAGGCCGTGGCTAATGGGCCCCTAACTGTCCTTAGTTTTTGAACTAACCCTACCTAATGAGCGTTACGCCACTGACTATTACTACATAATCTGACCCCAAACATCACATTGTATGTAATGTAGATAAATCAATCAAGTGCTTTGACAAACTGGGAAAGACAGATGGCACAAAGACGAAAACAACAAGGCAATCTAGCTAGTACGTGGAAGATTTCTTTTTTTAACTCTGTAAAAATGTCCTTTGCACACGTAAAAAATCTCAGAACTTGTCAACAGGATGTGCTCGCAACAGGCTTGTAGCAAGTTTTATTCAACAAGTTGTAACAGTGTTGTGATTTTATCAAGTTGCTGCAAGATTGGACACTCACAAACTGTTAACCAATTTTGAATTGCAGGACGACAATAAGTTGTTGGAACACATTGTTACAAGTCTGTTGAAGTCAACAACTTTGTAGCAAATTCTCAACAAGGTGGAAACAAGTCGTGCGAACACATCCTGATAACAAGTTGTTGAAACAGCATTTGGTGCACGCCTAAAAATCTCACAGCTTGTCAACAAGATCTGTTCGCACTGCTTGTTCCCAGTTGTTGACTGAGTCTGGAACAAGTTGTTATCACCTTGTTACAAGGTTGATGAGGTCAACAGACTCGCAACAAGTTGTTTCAACAAGTCTGATATCGTCTGCACGTAACAAGTTGTTAACAACAAGCTCGTAAAAACTTGTTACGAACAGCCTGTATTAGTCTTGTTGGAACAACTTGTGGCAAGTCTGTTACCGTCATCAACCTTGTAACAAGGTGATAACAACTTGTTCCAGACTTGTCACAACAACTGGGAACAAGCAGTGCGAACACATCCTGATATCGGCTCGAAAACAACCTTGTTATAACTTGTTTGGAGATCTGTAACAACTTGCGCGTTATTACGTGTGTACAACTCTGCGTGCTGCAGGTTTGTTACAAATTGTGCTTGTTGTGACGGTTTAACGCATGATCATCGTTATAGTTAAGAAGCTGTCTTGTTATTCTCGCTAGCCACACTGGCATAAGACCGTTCCAGATCATATTTCGACCATCGTATAGTTAGTGCCACTGACTATATATAAACCCAAATATGATTTTTTTTGGTTGGTAACATTTGGGTCATTTTATAACAAGAAATGTAATCTCTTTATCGTAAAAAACAATCAACTTCACTGTCTAACTGTTACTGGATATGATTTCATTCGATGGATTTTAGCAGCAAAATGCGAAGGAAAACTAATTTGCGGTTTATTTAATGACTTTTTTATTTAAATTTTTTATTTAAATTTTTTATTTATTTTTATTTTTATATTTTATTTTAATTCCTATTCAGCATCAGCTTTTACAGTGAAAAAGTTGACCATGATGAGGTTTTTCTGTAAATATATGTTACATATCTTCTCAGAATGACCCAAATATTACCCGTAATAAAAATCATATTTGGGGGCTTAATTTAGTAAATACTACATAATATTGTGCTTACAGTAATTTGTGACACTATTTAGAATTGTTACATACATCGACAGAAATGTTAGGAATGAATCAGAATGAAGAATATCGCGCCACCCAGGAAGAAAGGTTAGTGTAAAAAAATTACTTTATCATGTGTAATTTGAAACTGGAAAGACCTAGCTTGCTCAAGTATTCGAGTCCCGTTCGTGTTTATGCCGCTTGGACGTTGTTAAGAAAACGAGACTAACAATTTTTCTGTGAACGTTCATCCACTACAGGCATCTAATAGACAGAAGTATTCATTCAAAAGATTATGGGAAAGGATGTAAGTTTGCCAATCTCGTCTATCAATAATAATGTTCAATGGTGAGCAAAAAAACTTTGCATTTGTGTTTTTACTGGTTTTCTATCAAGATTTGCATTATTTTCTTCCGTTGTTCTAGATCGAATCGGAAGTGAATTTTGGAAGCAGGCAGAACTGATAGGGGATGATGATACTGGAATTCAGTAAGTTACGGGACAGTGTACATGTCGGCCAGCCAGAAATGTTAAGGGAAAAGTTTCTTACTTTTTATAACATAAATTTTACACAATAGCTTTTGTTATATATTTGGATAAAATGATAAAACTGCCAAAGCCCAACTTTCCAAAATGGCTAGAAATGCCATTTCGGTCACCTACCGGTCACCATGCTCTGTGAGCAGACAGGTATCATAAGGTGGCTGCCAGAGGCGCTCTTGGAAAGCCTTGGACTCCCTCAGGTTGATGATAAGCACCCCCCCCCCCACACTTACTAACTTGCGACCACCACTTGCTAACTTAGAACGTACGACCACGTACGCCCTCGTATGGCATTTCTGAAGCATTTTCAAAACTTTGACCATCATGATAAACCACCTTCTTCTTGACAGTATGACGCTAACACAGACAGAACGAGGTTATCCACCGGTGGTTGAAAACGTGGGCAAACCTGTTACCGTTAGAAGAGAAATGGGTAAGTTAGTAACTATATTATTTAGATTAAATAGATGTTCAAAATAACAAGAAGCACTTAATCGTTTTAAAGAACTGGGACTGGTTGTATAAAAAGTTAACTACAATTAGTACGAAAGTTAACCAATCAAAATGCAGTATTTTAGAGTAAATTACTATTTAGCGACAAAACTGTGGTTAAAAGATAGTTAAGAATTATACAGCTGACCTCTGGCCTTTACAGGAGATTGTGCATGAGTACGGTGTAAGAAAGAGCTTTCAAACTCGTTAATAACTGTGATTTATTCTTATGAGATGTCATTTCAAATCCTCCAGTATGGACTGGACTGGATTTCAAGTCCTTGAAATCTAGTCCAGCCATCATAGTCGAAATATTACATCCAGTATATGTATAGGTTATTTTGAGGCAACGAGGGGACATATGATTTATGCATCGTGCGTAAATTATACAATGGGCTAACTGCACATTCAGTTTACTCTGCCCTGCAAAGCAAGACAAACTTTTGCTAATTTCTCATCCTGACCAATTTTCATCCAAGATAAACCAAAATTTATTCAATTTGTCCTTGGGCAATGTCCATATTAGTTATCGTGCAAGCAAGCAAACAAACAGGCAGGCAGGCAGGCAGGCAGGCAGGCAGGCAGGCAGGCAGGCAGGCAGGCAGACAGACAGACAGACAGACAGACAGACAGACACATAGAAACGCGAATGAAAACATAACTTCCTGGCGGAGGTAATAGGGGGTGGCTCTTACTTGACCTCTAGGAACTGATAAAGCTATCCAGTAAAAATAAAGTTACTTAGTTTAGGATTCCTCTTGTAGTAACACTGATCCAATAAGATACCGCCCTTGTGCTGGCCTCTAGAAAGAACAGTTTAGAACTGATAGGACTATAACATCTATAAATAAAGTTAGTTGCTATAAATAAAGTTAGTTTATTTTGTGATTCTCTCGAAAGGTATTGATTGGTCAGATACGGAATCATATCGCAGTACCCTGGTCCATCATCCCTGGAGGAAATCTGATTATCTTCACAAGAGAAAGGAGGAACTGAAAGAAGTTATCGATGAACTATGTCCACATAAACCTGTATGTATTACTCAGACACCTACGCGGCTATAGCAAAAGTTGGACAACTCTAATACGGACATCGAAGGGATACAGTAGTCTCCGTATTAGAGAATAAAATACGAAAATTATGTTGTCGAAACATTGGAACCTGTTAGAAAGGTGTCCGTATTTAGTAGTTCTACTTAATACGTATTAAGTATTCAGTTACAGCTATAGAACTGTCCGTATTAGAGACGTGTCCATATTAGACAGGTGTTTTCATTAGAGAGGTGTTTGTATTAGAGAGTTATACATCTTAGAGAGTTATCCGTATTAGGGAAGTGTCTGTATTAGAGAGATGTTCGTATTAGAGAGGTATTCGTATTAGAGAGATGTCCATATTAGAGAAGTATCCGTATTAGGGAGGTGTCTGTATTAGAGAGTTGTCTCTATTAGAGAGTTATCCAGATTAGGGAGGTGTCTGTGTTAGACAGTTATCCGGATAGGGTAGTGCCTGTATTTTTATCCTTTATATCTCACAGTTGTGAACTTGGGTGGAATTAGTCACATGGTATTTTATTTCTGTTGCTAGTATCTTCAAGAACTGGAGGTGATAGGTCAATCATTGGACAATGAAATGACAACTTCATCAAATAATCAAGACAGCCCCACGACAAGAATGGATTCTTTAACTCCGCAGTTTGACGAAACCTCACACGAAGAAATGTAAGTTGGATTAACCTTGACATAGCAATCGCTAAAGTCTTCTTTGAAATTATTTTTCATGTTTACTCTATGCCAACGACGTCGTAACCTCTGGTCAACATGCGCCCATCGCAATTTAATAATATTAATAAAAATGTATTCAAGCACGGTGATTTCATCAGGATTTCTATGAAATTTACAAACAAATTAATTACGGTACAATTAAAAAAGTTGCACAGTCAAGCAGTTATCAAATATGTCACAGAAGTGGTAAAGGACATGTGTGACAACTGAATGGTATCCTTTTCTTACGTTTTTGGCCAGGAGTGGGTATTTATTTTTAATTGATATTTAAGGTTGGGTCAAAATATTTGTACCTATTAATGATTGAATCAGCAAAAATTTTACTATAAAGAAAAATCGTCCTCTTCGGTGCCACCCCGCCGCCATAAATAATAACCGGTCCCTTATATCAACTTTTCTAAATTTCTAGCGATCCTCTATCGATGCTTCCCGATGTTTACCCTCAGCCGATATTTGGCCCATCTCTAATGATTGCCGGTCGTTCCGCTGCTTGGAACGGCTCAACTAACAATAGAGTTGGTGAAATAGGACTCTCATGTCGTGTGTTACTGGAAGCAAAGGTCAAAGAAAGAGTCGTGTCCACTTTGGATGTTCAAAATAATGGAACAGCAGCTATATATTATTCGTGGATGGTAAAAAGTCCTATTATAACTATCGTGCATTGCGTAGTAATTTTGCCAGTAGAACTCTGCTATCTCGAACATGCAAGAGAAACAGAAAAAAATTCTAGATCCGAGCGGTAGTTAGAGATATAATCTTAAGTCATTTATTTTTCTTTCATTCAGTATGTTCCAATGCAAAACACACTGGGTACAAGTTTAGCTGGTCAACAGCAAAGGTTCTACTTCGACAAAAACAGCGGTAAGTTTTTTACCAACCCTGACGATGACGATTTCCCTAACTTTTCTGTTAGAAGCGAAGTGGTGATAAAATGTCCCCACACTACAATGTGTATAAAGAAGTAATCCAGTTTTCGAGTGCTCGTGTGCGCTTAATATTGAGTGCACAGATTGATGATAGCTTTCGAATGACACATTGTTGGTATTATTTTGAGCAAAAATGACCGAATACAAGCCAATTGAAAATTGCTACTTGAAATCACAATTTCCACCTATGTGCATATATCATTAAAGCAGTGTAGAACAAAAGAAAAAACAATTAATCATCTAATATGTCAATAAGCTGCTTACAACAGCAGTGACTAGATGTTACTTAGGGCTTTTGAAATTAACATTCATGAATCTTAGATCCAAATAGCCGGCGAGGCAGGCTCTGCCAATAGTTTTTCACCAATGCGATTTCCGCTTGCAATTTTTATTCGCTTCGTATTTGGCCATTCTATCGATTATAATAATACAAAAAAGCTATCATTGGACAGCTGAAAGCCTGAATTCTCTTGCTGCGTAAAAATGTTATCGACAAACTTTGTGTCTAATACCTTTTTATATCCACATGACACTGTACGAACCTAAGCAAAAACTGTCATTTTCTCTAGGTGTAATTCTCCCTGGCGATACGTTAAGATTTCCTTTCACATTCAAGTCGACCAATCCCGGGATGTTTTGCGAACAATGGCAGTTGGACACGCAGCCTAGCCTCAATGGTGGGGCGGCTATCCGAGTCTTGCTTAAAGGACTGGCACTACAAGATGACTTGAATGCGGAGAAGCGAGCCGCGCTTGAGAAAGAACTTGGTCAGCGGCAAATGAAACAGATTGTCCAGAGTATTATTAATGAGATATTAGATGGTGTACGAAGTCCTGAGAGGTCTGCTAGCCCAGTGGATGCTTATATTACGGTATGTTCGTGGCTTGCATGATGTAAAATCGGCAAAAATATCCATCCAGGCCAGGTGGGATAAACTCTTCATTTCCAATGTGGAAAATTTTATTCTACTTGACTGAGATCCCACCTAGCCGGGCTGACTCGACAGTTTCTTAGGGAGCGGTCATTATTTATGGCGGGGGTGGCACCGAAGAGAAAAGGGTTGGGTAAACAACATTTTGAGTGAGTAAAAGGTTGGGTAAATGAAAAAAAAAACAACTGAAGGGTTGGGTAATAAAAATTTATTTTCATTTCCAAACCATGATTCACTCAAAAAGACAAAAAGCAATATCAACAGTCATATGTCAATACAACATGTAAATCAATCAGAGTCACTATCCTGATCATTTTTCGATCTGTCACCAGGCAAATGGTGTCTCCAAAGAAAGTACATGTGCAGACAACATGAAACTTTAGTTACCAAATTCATGTCACAGAAGTGGGGAAAGACATGTGTGACAGCTGAATGGTATCCTTTTGTAACGTTTTTGGCCAGGGATGGGTATTTATTTTTTGACTTTTTATTGGTTGGATCAGCAAAATTTTTGCTAAGAAAAACATTTCTCTTCGGTGCCCCCTTCCCACACACACACACCACAAATAATGATCGCTCCCTCATATGAACATAAATTGAATTTTATATGCACTCACGGGAGTTTCCCAGTTAGCTGGGTTCGTATGAAAATGGAAACGAGGTTCACTGGACATCTACAAGCCCTGAGGAACTACTGCACTGAAATGTTTGTTTGTACTTTAGGATGAAGAGTTGTTCATACGAAGGAATCCAGAGGTGTGTATGAATCTTGTGCGTTGTTTGAGTCTTTTGCTATTATAGCTGTGTCCTGCATTTTAAGTACTAGATAAAACATGAGCAGCCGTGTTGTATCGGATATACAAACTCGTGCGCGAGAGTTTGTACATCCGATACAACACGGACGCGAATGTTGTAAATGGCTTGTGAAACGTCTTGATCAGAACATTCGTATTCTTCAACAATTTAAAATAAATGAATGATATTTGGTGAGAAAATTGAAAACTTGAAGTTTATGCAAATCAGCATGATTCTGTATCAGATATGCAAACTCCTTCACAGTCATGATTTCTTTTGTGTCTTCTTCGTGAATTTTTAACGAGTTTCACAATTAACTTCATTGTTTAGATGTTTTACGACGAAGAAATTTTCGAAGAATTAAAACAGTTGTATCTGGACATTGAGCCCGAAGGGGAATGGGACTTAAGCCTGTCTTCTTTACGCCAGGTAATGAAAAGATATCAAAGTTCCCTCTAGGTTTCTACACTTCTTTTTGTTTACCTTAATGGGTCCGCCGCTCATGTACGCGGATACCAATAATCTCTACCCCCATCCTGATTTGCTGTGTGAAAAACACCACTTAATTTGCTTTGCAAGGCTTTCAATCCATGCATAACCCAGGACCTTCATAACAGGAACCTCAATTAGGACGGCAACGCTAAAAAGACGGCAAACAAACTCGTTGAACTGAACGATTATGAAGAAAACCTGTTGTTTACTATCCATCGTAACCGATTATTATTTGTGACGGGGGCGATCAATTGCCTCCTTGCTTCCTATAATTACGGTGCAGTTCATAGTTTTTGAAGTGTTAAATTTAAAGCTGTTTCTTGTCAGATGCCCGCACTATAAGCCTTGCTTAAGTTCACTAATATGGTCTGATGAAACAAACAGCAAACTGCAAATTACAGTCCAGATTTATAGACTCATTGCACCAAGAAACGCACAGCAGAAATTTGCATATACCGCATTTCCTCTATGACATATTGTCAGACCAAATTCTCAGCATTATACTGAGCTTTGCTGTCTCTATTGATCGTTGTTTAGTTGATAATGTTAAGTCAATATGAAGACGATGAAAAAATGGATGGATATCTCAGTAGACTCAATGAACACGTCAAGAAATTGGCGTTCGCTCAACGTGTTCCTATCAAGGAGGAAATGTACAGCACATGGTAAGCCAAACTTAGATTACTAAATTCACTGAGTTTTTTTTCTTCTTGAAGATATTATAGAATTTAAGTTTATCCATAAGTTTAAAGCTACCGAGTTTAACATCCGAAACCTTTTTGCTGGTTTAATTAAACAAGCAGATAATTTCTCAAAACGAGCTTTAAATATAGCGGTGCTTATCTTTGGAATAACGTTCCGCTTGAAGCTAAGCAAGCTCAATCGATTTACTTATTTAAAAAATGTATAAAACAAAATATTCGATGTTAATAATCGAGTCTGGATTCTTTAATCATCTTTATCTGGGACACACCACCGTAAATTATAGTAAGTTTTGATAATGTGCACATAGTAGTTGACTTAGTTTCCTTCTTTTCATATTCTTTGTAATATTTTTATATGGACGCTCCCCCCCCCGTGAAAATCAACTTTTGCAGTTGTTGGGGCTAGCATCGTTAAATGAAGTGTGTAATAGTATTAATAAAAATGAAGTAATAGAATGCTATTCCCCGGACGAATTGCATTCACACGATCCAAAGTTTCGACACTCCAGTCTGGTGTCTTCATGCAAGTTTATATAATATGAGAAATGTTTTTGCTGCTTTCAGTAACAGAATGCAATCCCCCGAACAAATTGCATTTATGATCCAAAGTTTCGACACTCCAGTCTATAGTGTCTTCGTGCAAGTATAATTATTTGTTATAATATGAGAAATGTTTCTGCTACTCCTTGCAGTTACATGATGTTATGTGAGCTGGTCGACAATCTTGTCACTAAATCTGATATGATGCGCAGTTCTATGGGATTACCGCTGAAAGATATGATTGAAGACACCGCCGTGGACGAAGGTATGTAGTATAATATGTTCAATTGTGAAAAATGTTGCGCAATTTCATTGCATATATTGCATTCCGAGAAATAACTTATTGTCAAATTTATGTAAACCGTCTGTAAAATGAATCCTATCTGCGCTAGCCCTAGTTTTTGGCAAAGAATTTGACTCTTTTGGTGCTAAGCTCGTGTTTAACTGTGTAGATTGTAACTGAAAGAAAGAGATTTTTAAGGATAACTTAGCCTTTTATAACTACCGACGCGTGTTATGCGGAAGCTTGTCATTCCAAGTGATACGACAAATAATTCTTTACTTTTTTAGCGCCTGACAAGAAATCGAGAAAGACTGATCCAGGTCGCCTTACTGTCGACAAAAAAGACGGCAGGAAGGACAAGAAAGGCTTAGTAAGATTCACAGCTACTACTGCATTATGGGATAGCAAATTATAATCATGATATTACGCCCGTTTCAAAATTACGCGACCAGGCCAAAAATAACTAAGAGTTGACATGCCAGTTTTATGTCACACGGTCACGAAGTTCAAATTGTTTACAACTTTGAGTTTCGTGAATAAAACTGACATTTGAACTGAGTTTATTTTCGGGTGGGTCGCGTAATTTTGAAAATGCGTGTAATATTTACACGCAAAACAACCTCTATGCTACCTCTATACTCTAACTCCAGTTTATAAATTAAAAATCTCTTTATTTTTCAGATAATCTTTTAATAATTTAACACAATATAATGAACCTAACGTTAAATGGATAGTTTTCACTGCTATCACAACACTTAGTTAAAATTTCCTAGTTAACGTGAAAATGTTCCTATATTTGGATTAACTTAATATTCCTGGTTACATTTCCCGGTTTCATTTCCTACCATCGTCTGGTTAATGTAACCAGAACGGGCAGGAGTGCGTATATTTGACCAGGATGTCCTTGGTAAAGTAACCAGACTACGGTAGGTGGATGTATAGTATAACCAGAGCTCCTGGTAATTTATACACCTAGTATCATAGCCTGGTTAATTTAAAGGCCAACTCTGGGATGGTAAGTCCTTGAAAATCAGTATAGAAGTCCTTGAAAGTACTGGAATTAATTTCCTTAACCTCCAGTTGTGCCAAGATTAGTGATTTTGATTAAAATTACTGAATAAAGTGAATTAGGTTTACGGCAAATCCGTGCCATTTTCAAACATTTTTCACAGTTCTATCCCTTCGATGTCCTTGAATTTGCTGAAAAAGGGCCTTGAAAGTCCTGGAAAAGTCCTTGAATTTCACCTTCACCAACGGGTGGACACCCTGAACTCGCCTAAACTCACCGCGAGATAATGCGAGTTTAGGCGATTTAAGGTAAATTTCGATCAATCATAACCCGCGATTTAAGGCTGTTTAAATTAAAAGGGATTTTATGGGATTTACCATCTCAAAAACAGGCATGGCCAACTCTGGAACGGTAACTCGCCTAAACTCGCCGCGAGACAATGCGAGTTTAGGCGATTTAAGAAAACTTCGGCTAATTATAAGCCGCAATTTAAGGTGAGTTCACGCGGTTTAAGGCGACTTAAGGCGAGTTACCAAATCCAAAGTAGGCCTAACTTAACTGGGAAGTCCTAGTCAGATTAACCAGACTATAATAATCAGGAATATTATAAGGTAATAATCAGGAATATTATAAGTTAACCCAAATAGGGTTATTTCCAAGCTAACCCGGAACATTTTAACCAGACTGTTTTTAGGGTATAAGACATGCAACGGTAAAAAAGATAAAGTGTAAGTTAAGAATTATCAGTGTTAACGGGCCTGAAAATAATTTTATTGCGATAAAAGCTTAAAAAGTTAACTTATTAACAACTAACAACTAATACAGAATAATTTAAATGTTACTAATCATTTCTTAAATGCTGATAATTGTTTCTAATTACATAATTTGTAACACAATTTAAATATTGAACAATAATGAGTTTAATAAAAGTTTTACAATAATATAATTTAATTAAGAACTATATATACTAGGTGAACATATAAACTCTAAATTGTAAATAATGTTAACCCTTGTCAAAATGTGTATATGCTATACAGTTTATATGTTAATATTGTATACTTTAAAATGAAAATTAAATTTATATGAACTAATCTTAACACCAACCTAAATTTTGCACAGGTTATATTTTACACGAGACTGCTCAAGTGATGGGTCGTGTATGATCTTAAATTGCGGTTGCCATAGAGTATTTTAATTAAATACAAATATAGACACTCTGTCAATTGTTAACATTTTTCATTCTCGACTATACATTGAAGATTATCCTGCGGATGACTTAAATGTATAGTCGAAACGTATAGAGAAGGGAAGCACTGATGAAGATCCGGGCTTACGGATCGAAAGCTCTGCAGTAATAAATTTACGTGTGTTTCGACAAACAAAACTATTATATAATTTACGGAGTGTTATTGTTTTGTGTTTAATTAAAATGTGTGATCTTAATTGGTGTGTATATTTTAATTCTTCATTATTACATTATATTTGTGTTTGTTAAATTTTCCAAAATGTTGCATCAATTTCCACATTAATTGACAAGCTCAATTTAACTACCGTCCTAATCCCAACCCTAATGCTAATCTTAACTTAACTTAACCCTAATCGTAATTTTAATCCTAAAATCTTAATCCCCCTTCTTGGGTCATGGAAAACCAGTGGAATCTCAAAATCCCGGCCTGGGAGTCCTGGAAAATCCGTTTTAGTCATGGCAAGTCATGGAAAATTAGGAATTTACGTGAAAAATGTTTTACTTATTCTCCATTTATCAGTCGAGAAAAAACATGAATTGTGATAAATATTTTTGCGAGAAAATTGTTGACGATATTTTCTATAAGGTATATCATCCATGTTATATGGAAAGTCACCCAAAATAATTCATTTTATGCAATTGGATCCTGTCAGCTTTGTTCATTTTTATCTTAGGATAGACCAGTTTCATCACACAAACTTAAAACACCGAATGAAAAGACAAGGCCTACAAGAGGTAAAGACTATATTAAAGTATATTAAACGACAGTTATTGAATGATATGAGGACTTTTCAAGCCCGAAATTTGTTGATAACAAAGTGAGAGTTTGATAATATTTCATATCTTGCGAAAACCGAATTCAATAATTGTTTTATTATCTATTTACAAGATGAAAAAGACATCGATGGGGCTTCAATTCGTCGAAATAATCACGTGTTATCATGTCACGTTGAATATTATGTCAAAAATCCTTATTAATTTGGTCAGCTATTGAGTTCATAGTTGACGATTTCACAGTTAGCCAATAATAATGATTTATTTACATATTTAATGTGAGTCAGAAGAAAAGTTATGGTTGGTATCAATTAAAACATATCAGCACTACTTTATTGACGATAATTTTACTTTTAAAACTTAGAGTTTTTGTTCGTGCATTAGATTTGTATGTTGAACTTCAGTTCAAAGGTCTTGAGGCCTACATCACAATTATCAGAGACATTACTCTGTGAACAGGCTCCCTGTGAAAATAGTGGATCTTCTGACGGAATAGTACATTATTTTCAAAATCACTAAAATCTGCCATTCCGGAGAAAGAAAAATCGATGTTAAGAAGTTATTTTATCTCACAGGAAGTTCCAGCGCTCAATCAAAATTATCAACTGAAGATGCTCAGGAGCAAGTTAATGTAAGTCTGTTCCTTCAACTTTATCTCGAAACCAAAAGGGAAATCACAAACAAACAAAACAAACAAAACAAAACAAACAAAACAAAACAAAACAAACAAGCAAGCAAGCAAGCAAACAAACAAACAAACAAACAAACAAACAAACAAACAAACAAACAAACAAACAAACAAACAAACAAACAAACAAACAAACAAACAAACAAACAAATTTGAATATCTAAACAAACAAACAAACAAACAAACAAATTTGAATATCTCGATATCTGCTTCATAAACAAACAAACAAATTTGAATATCTCGATATCTGCTTCATAAAACCCAAAAGTCTAAAAATGTCAAACTGTTGTTCACCTGAATTATTTGAAAACAGTATCCAGCCATTTTAAATATACAAACGGGGGACCACAAGCATGCATATAGGTAATGTCTTATCTTATCTTTCAAACGTACACATTTATCTTCAAACTTGCCTTTATCTTCAACCTTTTTTGCGTCAAAGCGCTAACACATGCGTCGACTTATTTTCCACAATCACGACAAATTTTAACATTCCAACACTTTCTGTTTTAGAACTTCGTTGTCACTTTATCAGACTCGTCTACAGAGCAGCCAGTTAATTTGCTCAGAGAAGATCAATATAAAGAGAAGTATTTTGCCCAGGTAAGATCTCACATAATATACAACACGAATCGTTACACGCCAAAAATTAGAATTTTGGCCACTTTTTGATTTTTTTTTTGAAAAAGCCTAAAGGTTAACCTTACATTTTGTAGACGAAATGTTAAGGAGTTAACCTTTTGTTTTCGGCCAATTTTTGCCCCTTTCAATAGTCCAATAAATGGCAAAAATTGTAAAAAAGGAAAGCCTATATTTCAGAACCATCTTCAGAGATACTAAAAACTAGTGTCACAGTGGAATGAAAGTGAAGTCTAATTCCTTAACTTCTTGCAACCTCCTACAGAGGTTCTTTCCTGTACACTCCTCGCTTAAGGGCGGAGCGTAGAGGGAAGAGCCTGGGTAGGACATTGATTTTTAGTCCATTTTGGGCACTTTTTCCAAAATTCAAAGAGTGGGCAAAAATGGTCAAAATGTAGCCTTTACAAGTGCGACGACAAGTGCCCTCAATTGACAAAAAATAAAGGCTAACACTGATTTGACCATTTTTGGCAACTTCTTGAATTTTCGAAAGTGCCCAAAATTGACAAAAAATAAAGGCTAACACCTTAACATTTTGATTTATCCATTTTCAGCCAGGGCAAAAACTGGCAAAAAAGTAAGGGTCTTAACTTTCCGTCCTTTTTTTCACTTTTTAGCCATTTTTTTCTTTTTTGAAAAAGAGACAAAAAATGGCAAGAAAGTAAGGCTATATAGCCTTAACTTTCCTCAATTTTTAGCCACTTTTTTCATTTTTGAAAAAGTGGCAAAATGGCGAAAAAGTAAAGTTATAGCCTTAACTTTTCGTCCATTTTTTGCCACTTTGTTCATTTTTCAAAAAGGTGAAAAAAATGGCAAAAAAGAAGGGCTATAGCCTTAACTTTTCATCCATTTTTAGCCACTTTTTTCATTTTAGAAAAAGGGTAAAAAAATAGCAAAAAAGTAAGGCCTTGCCTTAACTTTTCGTCCATTTTAGCCACTTTTTTCATGTTTCAAAAAGGAGCACAAAATGACAAAAAAGTAAGGATATAACCGTAACTTTTTGTCTATTTTTTGCCACTTGTTATATTTTTTAAAAAAGGGAAAAAATTCGTAAAAGGTAAAGTAAGGCTCAGACCTTCAGTTTTTGGCGACTTAATTTTTTTTTATTAAAATTTGGTGATGAGAGATTATGTAGAAAAATACAGTTGCGATCACTGAATAGATCTACTAGTCGAGTGGAAGCCTCTTGGTGTTGCATGAAGGACAACAGTGGAACGATCCCTGTTGTCATCAAAACCATTTTATAATTGTCAGGCATAGTTAAGTACAATAAAAAGAACTTAAAGCAGCTGTAGGCGAGATAGTCTTGTGGAAAAGACGACGTTCTGTCATGTACCAGTGGTTCAAGTCCTACAAAATTTATTTTGTGACTTGAAATGTGTCGAATATTAATTACACAACCTAGAGAAAAAAACTTAAGCTGAATAAGTTGAAGTAGGTATCCAACAACAAGCAAGTGGTCTAGTGGTGAAGACTACAGGCTGTTTAATGTACCGTTGTGGTTCAAGTACTGCAGAACTTCTGCAAAAGTCATTTTGTGACTTGTAATGTGTCGATTATTAATTACACAAGCTAGAGAAAAAAGGTTAAGGTGAATAAGTTAACTTTGCGGTAGGCTTCTAACAACGAGCAAGTGGTCTAGTGGTATAGACTACATGTTGTGTAATGTACCATTGTAGTTCAAGTCGTACTGAAGTCATTTTGTGACTTGAAATGTGTCGAATATTAATTACACAAGCTAGAGAAAAAAAGGTTAAGGTGAATAAGTTGCAGTAGGCTTCCAACAACGTGCAAGTGGTCTAGTGGTAAAGACTACAGGCTGTGCAATGTACCATTGTGGTTCAAGTCGTACAGAAGTCATTTTGTGACTTGAAATGTGTCGAATATTAATTACACAAGCTAGAGAAAAAAGGTTAAGGTGAATAAATTGTGGTAGGCTTCCAACAACGAGCAAGTGGTCTAATGGTAGCGATATCGGACTTTAAAAGCCAATGTCGTGTATCAGGATCGGTTCGAGGATGAATGAATGAATAATGAAGAAAAAAAGATGGCGGAAGATCGAAGAATACAAAAGAAAATGGCGGCCGGGCAAATGTTGAATACAAAAGAAAATGGCGGCCGGGCAAATGTTTGGAGAAGATACGACCAATGAAATTAATCTTTAGTGGTTACCATGGTTGGCGCATGCGCGGTAGACTTAGATTATGATAGCGTGCGAGTGGGAAGGCAGGGAGGAAGAGGGGGGCCGGGAGGACAGGAAAAATTTACTAAGTCTTTTTGCTTTGCTCTTAGAGCAAGATACTTTAGGCTTTTTTCTCATTTTTTCGGGGAAACAGAACCCCCGAATTTTCTTTTCACTCCGCATACGGCTGGTCAGTTCGATCACCTGAGCACGAAGTCTCAGCCGGTCTTAACCGGGCTCGATCCTTCCACCGTAGCACCCGAAGGTTTTGAGTGGTACCACTAGACTACTAGGTCTAACAGTGAAAGCTTGATGTTTTCTATCATAGCTAATCCTTTTTCTCTACCCTACAATTAATTAGTACCCCTGACAAAGACCAAAAGGTCCTTGTCAGGAAACGAACCTGACTTCACCGACATGTGACACTTAGCCGAGACCACTAGACCATCGTGGCTGTTGCTTGTTAGCTAGTACATTTGATTTTATTTAACCCTTAAAAAAGTACAGGTGAAAAACCAACAGCCAAGATGGTGTAGGGGACTCAACGTGTTGTCGTATGCTTCGAACACTAGGTTCGATCCCTGCTGTGCTCAACATTCTTTCCGCTGTTGCACTAAGCAACTTGTCTCGGAACTTGTCTCGTAATGTTAAGAAATACGATCGCAGCGTTGCCGTAATCGTTGGAAAAAGTAGAACCCGAGTCTCTACTTCATGCAATGGTTGTTGCAACGATAATATTGCGAGACTTGTTGATTGAGAGACATGATACAACTTTCAACTTTGCGCTCACCTAAGAGAGTAAAGGGTTAAATAAAATCAAAAGTACTAGCTAACAAGCAACAGCCACGATGATCTAGTGGTCTCGGCTAAGTGTCGTATGTCGGTGAAGTCAGCAGGTTCGTTTCCTGACAAGGATCTTAGCGTGGCAAATTCTTGGTTCTGCTCTACAGGACTTGAAACGCAATAGAACGGGCGCCTATAACTCGAACCTGCATCTTTAATAATGTTAAGTTTCAAATTCGTTTCAATAAAACGCTGGGAAAGACCTGCGTTTTTATGTCCAGAAACGAGAGTTTATACTTGAGTAAGGCAGCGACAGAAAGCCTATAGACCATAGATTTTAAATATGAAATTTGTAGAGTGTGGCAAATTCTTGGTTCTGCTCTACAGGCCTTGAAACGCAATAGAACGGTCGCCAAAAACTCGAAACTTTTCGAAACTCGCTTGGACTGAAGACCTGCGATTTTTATGTCCAGAAACGGGAGTTTATACTTGAGTAAGGCAGCGACAGAAAGCCTATAGACCATAGATTTCAAATATGAATTCAAGTCACAAAATGACTTCTGTAGGACTTGAACCACATTGCACAGCCTGTAGTCTTTACCACAAGACCACTTGCACGATGGTGGAAGCTTACCGGAACTTATTCACCTTAACCTATTTCTTTAGTTAATATATGTGATTAACATTGGACACATTTCAAGTCACAAAAGGACTTCAGTACGACTTGAACTACAATGATACATTACACAACATGTAGTCTTTACCACTAGACCACTTGCTCAATGTTGGAAGCCTATTGCAACTTATTCACCTTAATCTTTTTATCTCTAGCTTGTGTAATAATATTAATATTCTACACATTTCAAGTCACAAAATGACTTGAACCACAATGGTACACGACACAGCCTGTATACTCTTTACCACCAGACCATTTGCTCGTCGTTAAAACTCAGCAACAAACTTATTAATAAAATAAGGGCTTACCCCATTACCTTTGCCTTTTTTAAGAGTAACAAAATTGCCAAAAAGTTAGGGGATTACATACAGTATATTGGCTGTTGCTTGGAGAATATGTTTTTTCTGTTTTATTTAACCTTTCACTGGATCATTTAAAATAGTTAACAAACCTCACACAGCCTGTCAAAATCGTCTGAAGGATTCATCCATTGTTTTCAACCATGCGACCCTATGGACGGTCCTCTAGACTATCATGTCGAATGATGCTTTTTTGAGATGTATTTTCTACTTCCAACACTTGATCCTAATTCCCACTAGACTTCCTCACCTCCAGCTGCTTGAAGTTATTTTTTTTGTAATTTAATAACTCTTTCAGTCTCGGGTGGAATAATTAACAACGAGAGCTGACACTAAAATAGTTTCGACCGCCTGTGAAATTTTTCTAAAATTCAAAAAGTGCCCCAAAACAAAAACCATCTCAATGATTAAAACGATCACTTTCAACTCATGGAAACGTGTTTTGAAATATTCGAGTCAAATGCAAAGGGGGAGGCACTAAAATTCAAAAAGTGCCCCAAAACAAAAACCATCTCCCTGACCAAAACGATCACTTTCAACTCATGGAAACAATGTTTTGAAATATTCGAGTCAAATGCAAAGGGGGGAGCACAGGAACCCTGAGGTCAACAAAGGGAGGACCAAAGGGTATGTATATCGCTGGAAACTCAGTGAGCGTTTTATGTTGTTAAAGGGAGGACCATTGGAAATTTTTGAAAAATGCAAAAAGTGTCCCAACCCTCTCCAAACTTTCTGAAAATTGTCAATTGAAAAACTTTTTTCATTTTTGAAGTAAGCTATAGCCTTAACTTTTCGTCCATATTTGGCCACTTTTTTATTGTTGAAAAAGGGGCAAAAAAGTGCCCGCAATTGACAAACAATTCTAAAATCATGAATAATTCATGAGCTAATTAGCCAATGAATTTCTTAAAATCTCGTCACATGATGACCCTTATATACCGTGATATAGATCGGTGTGTGCTGAT